CTTTCCCTATCCTATCTATCTACCTATCTATCTAAAATGTGTCCTTAAACAATGCATAGCATAGGTTTGTGTGGGTTTGATTTATGTAATGATATCCTGTGCTTATTATGAAACTTGCTTTTTCCACTCCATATGTGTTTCTGAGAATTATCCATATTGATTGACATAGCTCCAGTGCATTCTATTCCAAGGCAGAATAATAATCTGTTGCTTTATTTAACCAGTCCCTATGGATGAACATTTGCACTGTTAATAGGTTTTGGCTGTTACAAGTAATGCAGAAGTGAATATCTTCGCACACGTCTCCATGTCCAGCTGTACAAGAGGTTTTATCAAAGATCTGCCTAGAAGTGAAATTTTCATAGTCCCTTATCAGTGCTTTAAAAATCACTGTGATACATTTAAAGAGTACCAGTTCCATGCTAAAAGCAGACAGTTATTCATCAAGTTGAAAGTGGGGGACATTTTTTAACCAATCTCTTTATTTTACAGAAATTAATGATCCTAAGGACACATGCGTGGGTCCTTCGGACACTTCCTACCTCAGCAAGCAGAAACACAGTGGTGATAGCTGGTCAGAGGGTCGCTTAGCACAGCAAAGAGATGACAAAGAAGACCGTGGCCCCAGGTACACGGTGTGCTCTTGCCACTCACAGCACGCTTTTACCCACTAAGGTGGATGTTACAATCACCCCTTTGTCCAGATAAGGAAATTGAGGCTCGTAGAGATTAAATAGTCGGCCCCATGTCTGACGATTAGTGGCAGAGGCAGGATGGCGTTGCTCTGTGGCTTAACTAACCACAATCTATACAACTTTAATGCTGGACCTGGAGAGAGAGAAACATTAGTAGTTCTTGATGACACAAAGGTATTTCTATTAGAACACACTTTGCAGTTTTGAGAAGGCTGAAAGTCACAATATTGGATGAGGCCCTGAAAGCTATAACCAAAGGCATCGGGCATATAGAATATTGTGGAATTTGTGGACGGAATGGGTGTGGCAAAGAATTTATGGGATATATTTTACAGCTGACAAATTGAAATAAATTTCTTTTTCATGTTTTTCATTCAACAGAATGACTAAAAATTTTCTGCAAAAACTGTGCAAGCAGCACAAGCTTTATATTACCCCAGCACTGAACGATACACTGTATTTACACTATAAAGGTAAGGGTCTGGTGGAGGCGCTGCCTCATGTCAGGTGGAAAGACTCTAGTGGTGTTAAGAATTACTTGCAGGGATCATCTGGTGTTCTTAACTTATATTTAAGTAGAAATGTCAGAGTTTAGTGGAGATGCATGGAAAAGCAATAATATTTCTTTGAAGAAAGTCTTATGTGACTGGAGTTAATATGGGTTCAAGGGAAACACATTGGTATCTTTTATTTATATTTGCTAAGGGACTCATACTTTTTCGAACCAGTAGCTACTTGTAAATACTTTGGGCTTGGGAGGGTTACGTTGTGAAGGACGGTGTCGGTGTCCAGTATCACACATAAACTTAAGTTCAGGTTCATAGACAGGGCTATTCTAGCAATGGGGAAACAGAGTGATAACTCCCAACCTCGTGCTGAACCTGGGATGGCCACCCTGCTTCATCAGACCATCTTTATGTTCATTTGTTCAGTAAATGTTTACTGAGAGCCTTCTGTGTGCCTGGCAAGTGCTAAAGATACAGAGACGGATATGGTAAAGATGCTTTTGGTGTCCTGGGGGACAGGGCGGCCACTGTGAGAAGGTTCACACTGTGCCAGGGAGATTCACGGAGGGCTCCAGCAGCACAACTACTTTAAAGGTGTGGAACGACCCCTAACTGGTCTCCTCACCTCCCCGTTGCCCCCTCCAAAATCCTCCACCCAATGTCTCGGTGTAACAGTGATAAGATGACTTAGGAGGGCAGACCCCAGAGGACCAATATTTAAGAGGTGGGAAGAAGACCCAGTGGGTTAGACCAGGTAGAAAGAATCAGAGAATTAGGAGAGAGATATGCCTATATTACCTACTGCTGCCTAACAAATTATCCCGAAACTTACCAACCTAAAAAATTACCATTATTTGCTACTGTTTCTGAGGGTCAGGAATCTGGGAATGACTTAGCTGGGTGGTTCTGCCTCATCGTTGCTATTACCCTTTTTTAATAAAAACTTTTCAGGCAACAAAACAAATGACTTTGAAAAAGTTTTGGTAATAGCAGGTGCACCGTGAATTACAAATCTATAATGAGTCACTCAAGGAAACAAAAATGTCTGTTTTCCTCACCTTAAATGTGGCTCATAAAACTGAAAAATAAGGCTTCCCTGGTGGCACAGTGGTTGAGAGTCCGCCTGCCGATGCAGGGGACACGGGTTCGTGCCCTGGTCCGGGAAGATCCCACGTGCCGCGGAGCGGCTGGGCCCGTGAGCCATGGCTGCTGAGTCTGCGTGTCCGGAGCCTGTGCTCCGCAACGGGAGAGGCCACAACAGTGAGAGGCCCGTGTACTGCAAAAAAAAAAAAAAACTGAAAAATACAGACCCGAAGTTTGGACTGGCTTCAGGTACAGCTGGATCCATCCTGGTGCTTTACCGCATATCTTCACGAGGCTGTTTCTCCCCTTTCCTTGGCCCTGCTTTCCCTTGGGCTCATTCATTTCAGACAGGTCACCCCTCACTTCTCCCCACTCCCAGGCGAGAAGGGAAGGTGACTGCTTCAGTGTTAGGCGCCACCCTGCCAGGCTGGCAATTGTAGCAGAAAGTTACCTTTTTCCAATGGAGCCAGCAAAGCTCCCCAGGATTCATGAAGGTTGGCTCCACTTGGCTGAGCGTGACCAGCTCCCTGCAGAGAGCCATGGGGTAGTATCAGGACAGGGATGTCCCTCCAAAGAGGCAGCGGTGTAACTCAGGAAGGACGTGTGGATGCTGGGCAGATAGGCAGAAAAGAGGGTGACCCCTGTGCCTCTGAGTGTGCAGAAGCTTAACCAACTCCCCCTTCCTCCCCACTAGGCTTTGACCGCATCGAGAACTTGGAAGAGTACACAGGGCTGCGTTGTCTCTGGCTGGAGTGCAACGGAATACAGAAAATCGAGAACCTAGAGGCCCAAATGGAACTGCGATGCCTCTTCTTGCAGGTGAACCTGCTCCATAAGATCGAGAACCTAGAACCTCTGCAGAAACTGGATGCTCTCAACATCAGCAGCAATTACATCAAGACCATTGAAAACCTCTGTAAGAAGAGGCCCTGCTGTGGCAGGGCGGGGTGCGGGGTGGGGGGCGTTCTCTAGGCCCCCGCCTCCACCACCGTTTCCTCGCGGAGGTTCTTAACATTCTTTTCCACCCGTGTCGCTTACTTCTGCTGACCTCCCCTTCCAGCCTGCCTGCCTGTCCTCAACACGCTCCAGATGGCCCACAACCACTTAGAGACCGTGGAAGATGTTCAGCATCTCAAGGAATGTTTGAAACTGTGTGTCCTTGACCTTTCCCACAACCAGCTGAGTGACCCAGAGATCCTGAGCATTCTCGAGAGCATGCCCAACTTGGTAAAACACACACACGCACACAACTTGCGTTATCTTGTGTTCTCTAGACAGCGGATCTCTTTTCTCTTTCCCCTCCCTCCCTTCCCCCTTCCTCTCTCCCTGCTTTATTAACACCCATCACACATTTTTTTCCTCTCTGTATTTTTAGCTGGAGTGTTTTCAATGCCAGATGCCGTATCGTTTCACCCACAAATATTTCAGTGTGTATTCTTGACAGATAGGGACTTTTTAAAAGCATCATGACAATACTATTATTATATCTAAAATATTATCAGAAGGACAGTTAATAACCAGTCCGTATTCAGTGTTCCCCATTTGTCTCAAAAATGTGCTTTGACTCTTGGGTTTTGCAAATCCAAACCAGATCCACACATCATATTTGGATTATGCATCTCTCAAATCTCTTGATCTATCACAGTCTCCCCTTGGCTGTTTTCACACATACACACAAACACACACACACACACACACACACACACACACACACACACACACACCGTAAATCTGTTCAAGAAACCGGGTCCCTCCTCTTGTTGTCAGCCACATCCTGGATTCAGTTGACTGCATCCTCATGATGTGGTTTCACGTGTTCTGCTGTCCCCAGTATCTCTTGTAAAATGATGATGGAGTCAGAGACCTGATCAGATCCAGGATCAGAATCTAACTTTGAGGTTTGCTGTTGCATCAGTCAGGGCACCTATAAGTCTGGTTACCCCTCTTTTTGTAAATTTCAGCTTGATTCGTGGGTTTGGCTGCTGTCAACCAGATCCAGCCTTCATGAAGTCCCTCATCACCCCTTCCCCTGATCGTTTCTGCAGCTCCCGAAGCATGTTGCCTCCATGTGTGATTTCATTAGGGGTCACACAGTGACCGTATTCTAAGTCTCTTATTCCTTCTGCACCTATTAGCTGGAATGCTTCCACAAAGAGCAGTTTTGCTCATCCATTCATGCCTCCCTAATATAAAGTCCATATAGAAAAGGCTGGGATAGGGACTTCCCTGGTGGCGCAGTGGGTAAGGCTCCGCGCTCCCAATGCAGGGGGGCCTCGGTTCGATCCCTGGTCAGAGAACTGGATCCCACATGCATGCCGCAACTAAGAGTTCACATGCCACAGCTAAGGAGCCAGTGAGCTGCAACTAAGGAGCCCGTGAGTCACAGCTAAGGAGCCCACCTGCCACAATTAAGACCCAGTGCAACCAAATAAATAAATATTTTTTTAAAAAGAAAGAAAAAGCTAGGATAAATTCTTATTGTTTTTCTTTTTATGTATTCCTTTTCAGAGAAATGAGTCAAGAACGTAGGAACCTCTAAAGGTGACAATGAGGTTGAACCTCTAAAGGTTCACGTTATCATCGTGAACACAAAGATTTATAGATACAGTATTTGATATGACTTAACCCTTGCTGTCATTTTAATTTGGGGTGATTGAATGTTCCCATCTTCTGGCCTGTGGCAACCCCTCCAGGCGGCTCCTGTGTCCTTTGGACTCCACTCCAGCAGCCTTTGATGACTTCCTTGCTTTTTAGTGTATATGTGTTGTCATGTGAACTAGGAAAAAATATTCCAAATAGCACACAAAAAACTTGAGTTCACTGTTTACTGCTTAGGGTATGGATAAGAAGGAAAAAGTAAGTCCATTTAAAGAAAAACAGTAAGCAAATCATAGTTCAAGAGCAATCTGTAGAGCAGACTGTCACCAAAGACTAATTTAGAATTTATATTATCACCAGTGTATGGTGCTAATATAAAGTCGTATTATAATACCTTTTTTTGGCCTGGCTGCCATAACAAAGTACCAGACTGAGTGGCTTAAACAACAGAACTTTATTTTCTCATGATTCTGGAGGCTAGAAGTCCGAGATCAAGGTGTCAGCAGGGCTGGTTTCTCCTGAGGCCTCTCTCCTTGGCATGTAGATGGCCATCTTCTCTCTGGGTCCTCATATGGCCTTCTCGGTGTGTGTCTCTGTGTCCTAATCTCCTCTTCTTACAAGGACCTATTGGATCATGCCCCACCCTAATGACATCATTTACTCTTAATCACCTCTTCAAAGACTCTGTCTCCAAATACAGTCACATTCTGAGTCACTGGGGGTTAGGACTTTAGCATATGAGTTTGCTGGGGGGAAGCAATTCAACCCATAACAAGAACAGTCTGCCTCGTGGTTGTTTTGTGATGGCTTTTACATTCTCCATACACACGCAGCCCTTTAGTCCCTGCCCCTGGGGCACATTGCTCCCCCCACTCAGCCCCACAGAACAGGTCACTTGAACCAGTATATTTATTTTCCTGAACAAGAAAAATCACTTTAGATATGAAAGACATTTCACCAGTTCAGGCAAACCGATGTTAAATGTTTCACCCACATGTCACCTTGACCATTCACCTTCTTGAGTTTCATCGGCAGGAGGGGAGGTGACAGTATTTAAAGAGGGGTGGGGACGGCGCACTGGCACTGCTGTGTCGCTTTCCCTTTCCTGGTCCCGACTTGACATCCGGGAGAACTATAAGCCTGGCAGTAGATAAGCAGGCACTTTGCATCCTATGCCCTCAGTCACCACTTCTTATCTGTCTAGCTGCTGTGTACATTTTCTTAAAATGGGTCCTGGCTGGGAAGGACAGAAAATGATCAATTGGAGATTAATTTCAGTAAAAGAGATTGGGCCAGCAAAACTAATGCAATCACTGCCCTCGGGTAAAGGCCTCAGGAAGTGTTTTCCAGTATTGTTCTGGAAGGACAATGAGATTTAGGATCTGAAGTTCAAGTGTAATAGAAGAAAGGGCTGCCCAATTCTCGGGACAGTTCTGATGGCACAGAAACAACGAAAGCCTCTGCCTTCTCTGATATTGTCTTCATGATTTGATGTAAACACTCCCTGTTTATTTATTTATTTTCAGAGCACTGCACATATTAAATGTTTCAATCGCATCCATTTTTCAGTGATTAATGTGGCTCTGCCTGTGTGCTTCCAGCGTGTACTGAATTTGATGGGAAACCCAGTGATTAGGAACATCCCTAATTATCGAAGGACAGTCACTGTTCGACTAAAACATTTAACATACCTGGATGATAGACCAGTTTTTCCAAAGGACAGGTAAGGAAACAAAAAGCCTTTTGATCATACTTAATAGGTAATAGTTGAGCATGCTCAATATTAAACTTTTAAAAATTTCTGATTTTTGAGCATTTCCACACATCATTAAATATTTCAGTGAAATAGGTTTAATGGCTCACATGACTGTTTATAATAGGAAATTCCCTGTTTTTGAGCACTTATTCATAGATTTTTCATAATCCTTTGATAATTATGCTTCTATATAAGTCTATGATCTCATGGCCGGTTATTTCCTTAGGATGGAACCCTGAGTTGTATTATTAGATTAAAGATAAAGACTGTGGTTTGAGACTTTTAAAAGGTGTTTTTAAATATTTTCTAATTGTTTTCTAGAGTGTTTGTATCAACTTATAACTTCCCCAGACACAGCCATGTTAAAAAAAAAAAAAAAAAAAAAACCTTTGCCAGGCCAATTGATGAGTGAAGGTGGTACCTCGCTTTATTTTTATTTATTTATTTATTTATTATTCATTTATTTATTTATTTATTGGCTGCATTGGGTCTTTGTTGCTGCGCGCGGGCTTTCTCTAGTTGCGGTGAGCAGAGGCTACTCTTCGTTGTGGTGCGCGGGCTTCTCATTGCAGTGTCTTCTCTTGTTGCAGAGCACGGGCTCTAGCACAAGGGCTTCAGTAGTCGTGGCTCACGGGCTCTAGAACACAGGCTCAGTAGTTGTGGCGCACGGGCTTAGTTGCTCCACGGCACGTGGGATCTTCCCAGACCAGGGCTCGAACCCATGTCCCCTGCATTGGCAGGCAGATTCTTAACCACTGCGCCACCAGGAAGTCCCAGTACCTCGTTTTAAATTTGCATTTTTGGGTAACTGATGAAGTTGGTCATTTTTACTACCTTTGTCGGGCATTTATGTTTCCTTCTCTATGAGTATTGCATTCATGACTTCTTCCCAGTTTCCTTTTGGCGGGATGCTTTTTCTTACTGATTCATAAGAGCTCTATTGCATATCAAGAATATTGAACCCGGGACTGCAGGCTCAGCGGCCATGGCTCACGGGCCCAGCCGCTCTGCGGCATGTGGGATCTTCCCGGACCGGGGCCCGAACCCATGTCCCCTGCATCGGCAGGCGGACTCTCAACCACTGCGCTACCAGGGCAGCCCCATCACTGCTTTTATCTGGGTTTTTAATTTCCCTTTTTTTTTCTTTTTGGCCGCTCCTCGTGGCTTGCGGGATCTTAGTTCCCCTACCAGAGCTCAAACCCTCGCCCTCGGCAGTGAAAGCACAGAGTCCGAAACACTGGATTTCCAGGAAATTCCCTTAATTTACCTTTTGATTGAGGCCACTATTCATTCATTCCAGCTTAGAATAAAACTTCAGTAACTGGGATGGCCTGAAGGAAAGTGCAAATCTGAATTTTCCAACACTTAAAAAGAAACATAGCTGGTAGTATGTTTTTGAACTCACATATTTTAGTCAAACTAACACAGATTTCCATCGGAAGGGGGAGCCTCCACTTGGACCACGTAAGAGAACCAGGATCCCTGCTTCTGGGCAGTCAGGCCGAGATGCATCCGTTTCCCCAGCACCGAGCCCTGGGTGTTCAGGGTGACGGCGGGTGGGCAGGGCCTGCGGGCAGACCTCCAAGCCCAGCTCCGCAGCTGCAGGTCCTGTGCCCGTGGCTGAGCGCCAACCTCCCCAGCTTCAGGTTCCTCATCCGGAAGGTGGGGACAATACCGACCGCGGGGTCCTTGTGAGTATCTGTTAGTATCACGTGGGACTTAAGCAGGTACCAGCTGGTAGGAGGAGGGAACCAGCGGGAGAGGCTGTCCCAGAGGATTGTGACACTGCGGCAGTGCCGACCAGCAGGAAAAGTGTAAACGGGAACCTGAGCTGGGCCCTCAGCAGGGAGACCCCTGCCCTGGACGGTGCAGCATGACTTCTCTTCAGGAGTTGGGTGCACCTGGGTTTGAAGCCTCATTCCAGCACTCTCTAGCTGTTCCACACTGGGCCACACTGGGCCCTTGACGTTCTCTCCACCCGTGATGCTCTGCACAGGTGTTTGCAGGTGTCTGCTCACCTGTCATCTTCTGAAGATCTCCATGACTGACCACCTATCTAAGTAACACCTTTGCCACTTCCACCTGCTGCCTCTTCAGCCTGATTTCTCAAGACACATCCGCCTCTGACATACTTGTTTCCCCATAAAAGGGCAGCTCTAACAGAGCAAGTGATGTCATCTCTTATGTTACCTGGTGTATCCCCAGCCCCTAGAACAGTTCAGCCATTTCAAGTGTACAATTCAGTGGTTTTTTAGTATGTTCACAGAGTTGTCCAACCACACTGCACAATCAATTCTAGAATATTCTTATCACCCCCAAAAGTAACCCTTACTTATTAGCAGTCACTCCGCAACCCCCCTCTGCCAGCCCCTGGAAACCACAAATCTACTTTCTATCTCTCTGGAGTTGCCTATTCTGGGCATTTCCTATAAATGGAATCATACGATATGTGGTCTTTTGTGAATGACTTCTTTCACTGAGCGTATTTTTAAGGTTCACCCACATTGCAGCCTGTGTCAGTAAATACTTCCAAAATAATGCTGTGAAATATTACATTTGGAAAGCCCACATTTAAAAATTTTTTTTTATACAGCAGGCTCTTATTAGTTATCCATTTTATACATATTAGTGTGTATATGTCAATCCCAATCTCCCAATTATTCCCACCACCACTCCCCACCGCTTTCCCCCGTTGGTGTCCATATGTTTGTTCTCTACATCTGTGTCTCTATTTCTGCCTTGCAAACCGGATCATCTGTGCCATTTTTCTAGATTCCACATATATGCATTAATACACGATATTTGTTTTTCTCTTTCTGACCATTTTTCTCTTTCTGACTGACTCTTCACTCTGTATGACAGTCTCTAGGTCCATCCATGTCTCTACAAATGGCCCAATTTCATTCACTTTTATGGCTGAATAATATTCCATTGTATATATGTACCACATTTTCTTTATTCATTCATCTGTCGATGAGCATTTAGGTTGCTTCTATGACCTGGCTGTTGTAAATAGTGATGCAATGAATATTGGGGTGCATGTGTCTTTTTGAATTATGGTTTTCTCTGGGTATATGCCCAGTAGTGGGATTGCTGGGTCATACGGTAATTCTATTTTTAGTTTTTTAAGGAACCTCCATACGGTTCTCCATAGTGGCTGTATCGGTTTACATTCCCACCAACAGTGCAAGAGGTTTCCCTTTTCTCCACAGCCTCTCCAGCATTTATTGTTTGTAGATTTTCTGATGAAGCCCATTCTAACTTGTGTGAGGTGATACCTCATTGTAGTTTTGATTTGCATTTCTCTAATAATTAGTGATGTTGAACAGCTTTTCATGTGCTTCTTGGCCTTCTGTCTGTCTTCTTTGGAGAAATGTCTATTTAGGTCTTCTGCCCATTTTTGGATTGGGTTGTTTGTTTTTTTAATATTGAGCTGCATGAGCTGTTTATATATTTTGGAGATAAATCCTTTGTCCGTTCATTCGTTTGCAACTGTTTTCTCCCATTCTGCGGATTGTCTTCTCGTCTTGTTTATGGTTTCCTTTGCTGTGCAAAAGCTTTTAAGTTTTATTAGGTCCCATTTGTTTATTTTTGTTTTTATCCCATTACTCCTAGGAGGTGGATCAAAAAAGATCTTGCTTTGATTTATGTCAAAGAGTGTTCTTCCTATGTTTTCCTCTAAGAGTTTTATAGTGTCGGGTCTTACATTTAGGTATCTAATCAATTTTGAGTTTATTTTTGTGTATGGTGTTAGGGAGTGTTCTAATTCCATTCTTTAACATGTAGCTGTCCAGTTTTCCCAGCACCACACAAATTTTAAGATTTTTTGTTCTAGTTCTATAAAAAATGCCATTGGTAATTTGATAGGGATTGCATTGAATCTGTAGATTGCTTTGGGTAGTATAGTCATTTTCCCAATATTGATCCTTCCAATCCAAGAACATGGTATATCTCTCCATCTGTTGGTATCATCTTTAATTTCTTCCATCAGCGTCTTATAGTTTTCTGCATACAGTGCTTTTGTCTCCCTAGGTAGGTTTATTCCTAGGTATTTTATTCTTTTTGTTGCAGTGGCAAATGGGAGTGTTTCCTTAATTTCTCTTTCAGGGTTTTTATTCTTCAATTTGTTAATATGGTGTATCACATTGATTGATTTGCATATATTGAAGAATGCTTGCATCCCTGGGATAAATCCCACTTGATCATGGTGTATGATCCTTTTAATGTGTTGTTGGATTCTGTTTGCTAGTATTTTGTTGAGGATTTTTGCAACTATATTCATCAGTGATATTGGTCTGCCATTTTCTTTTTTTGTAGTATCTTTGTCTGGTTTTGGTATCAGGGTGATGGTGGTCTCATAGAATGAGTTTGGGAGTGTTCCTTCCTCTGCAATTTTTTGGAAGAGTTTGAGAAGGATGGGTGTTAGCTCTTCTCTAAATGTTGGATAGAATTCACCTGTGAAGCCATCTGGTCCTGGAGTTTTGTTTGTTGGAAGATTTTTAATCACAGTTTCAATTTCATTACTTGTGATTGGTCTGTTCATATTTTCTATTTCTTCCTGGTTCAGTCTTAGAAGGTTATACCTTTCTAAGAATTTGTCCATTTCTTCCAGGTTGTCCATTTTATTGGCATACAGTTGCTGGCAGTAGTCTCTTAGGATGCTTTGTATTTCTGTGGTGTCTGTTGTAACTTCTCCTTTTTCATTTCTAATTTTATTGATTAGAGTCCTCTCCCTCTTTTTCTTGATGAGTCTGGCTAAGGGTTTATCCATTTTGTTTATCGTCTCAAAGAACCAGCTTTAAGTTTCATTGATCTTTGCTATTGTTTTCTTTGTTTCTCTTTCATTTATTTCTGCTCTGATCTTTATGATTTCTTTCCTTCTAGTAACTTTGGGTTTTGTTTGTTCTTCTTTCTCTAGTTCCTTGAGGTGTAAGGTTAGATTGTTTATTTGAGATTTTTCTTGTTTCTTGAGATAGGCTTGTATAGCTATAAACTTCCCTCTTAGAACTGCTTTTGCTGCATCCCATAGGTTTTGGATCATCGTGTTTTCATTGTCATTTGTCTCTTGGTATTTTTTGATTTCCTCCTTGATTTCTTCAGTGATCTCTTGGTTATTTAGTAGCGTATTGTTTAGCCTCCATGTGTTTGTATTTTTTACATTATTTTCCCTGTGATTCATTTCTAATCTCATAGCATTGTGGTCAGAAAAGATGCTTGATATGATTTAAATTTTCTTAAATCTACTTAGGCTTGATTTGTGACCCAAGATGTGATCTATCCTGGAGAATGTTCCGTGTGCACTTGAGAAGAAAGTGTAATCTGATGTTTCCCGATGGAGTGTCCTATAAATGTCAATTAAACCTATCTGGTCTATTATGTCTTTTAAAGCTTGTGTTTCCTTATTAATTTTCTGTCCGGATGATCTGTCCATTGATGTAAGTGAGGTGCTAAAGTCCCCCACTATTAGTGTGTTATTGTCGATTTCCTCTCTAAAGCTATTAGCAGTTACCTTATGTATTGAGGTGCTCCTATGTTGGGTGCATAAATATTTATAATTGTTATATCTTCTTGGGTTGATCCCTTGATCATTATATAGTGTCCTTCCTTGTCTCCTGTAACATTCTTTTTTTTTTCTTTTTTGCGGTACGCAGGCCTCTCACCGTTGTGGCCTCTCCCGTGGCAGAGCACAGGCTCCGGACGCGCAGGCTCAGTGGCCATGGCTCACGGGTCTAGCCGCTCCGTGGCATGTGGGATCTTCCCGGACCGGTGCACAAACCCGTGTCCCCTGCCCCGGCAGGCAGACTCTCAACCACTGCGCCACCAGGGAAGCCCAACATTCTTTTTTTTTTTAAAGTCTATTTTATCTGAAGTGAGTATTGCTACTCCAGCCTTCTTTTGATTTCCATTTGCATGTAATATCTTTTTCCATTCCCTCATTTTCAGTCTGTATGTGTCCCTAGGTCTGAAGTGGGTTTCTTGTAGATAGCACATACATATGGGTCTTGTTTTTGTATCCATTCAGCAAGCCTGTGTCTTTTGGTTGAAGCATTTAATCCATTTACATTTAAGGTAATTATCGATATGTAGATTGCTATTACCATTTTCTTAATTGTTTTAGGGTTGTTTTTGTAGGTTCTTGTCTTCTGTTGTGTTTCCCACTTAGAGAAGTTCCTTTAGCGTTTGTTGTAGAGCTGGTTTGGTGGGGCTGAATTCCCTTAGCTTTTGCTTGTCTGTAAAGCTTTTGATTTCTCCATCAAATCTGAATGAGATGCTTGATGGCTAGAGTAATCTTGATTGTAGGTTCTTCCCTTTCATCACTTTAAATATATCATGCCACTCCCTTCTGGCTCGTAGAGTTTCTGCTGAGAAATCAGCTGTTAACCTTATGGGAGTTCCCTTGTATGTTAAATGTCATTTTTCCCTTGTTGCTTTTAATAGTTTTTCTTTGTCTTTAATTTTTGTCAGTTTGATTACTGTGTGTCTCAGTATGTTTCTCCTTGGGTTTATCCTGCCTGGGACTCTCTGCACTTCCTGGACTTGGGTGGCTATTTCCTTTCCCATGTTAGGGCCGTTTTCGACTATAATCTCTTCAGATATTTTCTTGGGTCCTTTCTCTCTCTCTCGTCTCCTTCTGGGACCCCTATAATGTGAATGCTGGTGCGTTTAATGTTGTCCCAGAGGTCTCTTATGCTGTCTTCATTTCTTTTCATTCTTTTTTCTTTGTGTTCTGTGACAGTGAATTCCACCATTCTGTCTTCCAAGTCACTTATCCATTCTTCTGCCTCAGTTATTCTGCTATTCATTCCTTCTACTGTATTTTTCATTTCAGCTATTGTATTGTTCATCTCTGATTGTTTGTTCTTTAATTCTTCTAGGTCTTTGTTCAACATTTCTTGCATCTTCTCCATCTTTGCCTCCAATCTTTTTCTGAGGTCCTGGATCATCTTCACTATCATTATTCTGAATTCTTTTTCTGGAAGGTTGCCTATCTCCACTTCATTTAGTTGTGTTTTCTGGGGTTTTATCTTGTTCCTTCATCTGGTACATAGCCCTCTGCCTTTTCATCTTTTCTGTGAATGTGGTTTTTGTTCCACAGGCTGCAGAATTGTAGTTCTTCTTGATTCTGCTGTCTGCCCTCTGGTGGATGAGGCTATCTCAGCCCACATTTTCTTTATCTGTCAGTCGATGGACATTTGCGTTGCTTCCACTTTTTGGCTGTCGTGAACAGTGCTGCTATCAATGTTCGTGTGCAGGGTTTTGTGTGTGGACATTTGTTTTCAACTCATTTGAGCAAATACTTAGGAGCACAATTGCTGGATATATGTGACTGTTTGCTTTGTAATTGCCAAGCTGTCTTCCATGGGGCTGTGCCATTTTGCATTCCCACGAGCAATGAAGGAGCATTCCTGTCGCTGCACATCCTTCCCAGCATTTGGTGTTGTCAGTGTTCTGGATTTTAGCCGTCCTGTTGAGTGTCAAGTGGCATCTCGTTGGTTTAATTTGCACTTTCCTGACGTCCTATGACGATGAGCTTATTTGTCACCTGCCTATCTTCTTTGGTGAGGTGTCCAGTTCTTTTGCCCACTTTTTAAAATGTGTTTTTTCATTTTTGAATTTTAATAGTTCTTTGTATGTTTTGGATACAAGCCATTTTTCAGTTATCTTTCTTGCAGATATTTTCTCCCAGTGCAGTTTGTCTTCTCATTCTTTTAACCACTTCCCATTTTTAAGTCATCTTTGTATTAATGAGTTGCAATAGGTCTTTATATATTCGAGATACAACCCCCTGATCAGGTATATGATTTGCATACCCATTCTGTGGGTTGTCTTTTATTTATGGTATTCTTTGCATGACACACATTTTTAACTTTGGTGGAGTCCAATTTCTCTATTTTTTTCTTTTGTCACTTGTGCTCTTGGCCTCGTATCTGGAAGGCTTTGCAAACCATTAGACTTTACAGATTAAAAACGTGCATGTGTTAATACGTATCCTCGCAGTCATATGTCCTGTGCCTTTAGTTTGATTTTGGGGAAGATGAGCGTTTGGTCAGATAGTGTATGTTTTGGATTTACTTCGAACCTGTGACAATTCAAACCTCCCCGATTTCTGGGGTGTTCTTGTTTCTTTGTTTTTTGATTTTAATACTCCTAAACAGAGCCTGTGCAGAGGCCTGGGCACGAGGAGGGTACAAAGCTGAGCAGGAGGAGAGGCAGCAGTGGGAGAGCAGAGAGCGGACGAAGATCACAGACAGCATTGAGGCCTTAGCCGCAATCAAGCGCCAGGCTGAGGAGAGGAAACAGCAGAAAGCAAGCCAAGAGCAAGGTGCATGCTTGAGACACAAGGAGGACCCCGAGCTCCGTTTAGATTAAAAATCTGGGCTGTTGAACTCACAGTCTTTCATCTCAGGGATTGGGGGTAGGGGGTGGGGACCATTCGTTCACGTACCTGCAGATCCATCTGCCCTTGACCTCATGCAAGGACGGTGCTCAGGGCATCTTATTAAGTAAGAACCCCCTTCCTCCTCTTACACCCAATAGAAGAGCCAGAGTCTCTATGTGTGCTTTTAAATGACATTTAGTGTTTTTCACCTAATTACAAAATGTGAACACGCTACACATAGAAAACATAGAAAGGCAAGAGTAATAACAGTATCATAGCAAGAACCACTCAGTATTCAGTGCGGGTATTTCCTGGCTTTTCCCCACGCATGTAACACATATGTATTTTTTAATAGAAAAAAATGGCATAGCTATATTGCTTTCTTTTATATATATATATATATATATATATATATATTTATTTATTTATTTATTTATTTATTTTTATTTTTGGCCACATTGGGTCTTTGTTGCTGCACGCAGGCTTTCTCTAGTTGTGGGTGAGCAGGGGCTACTCTTCTTTGCAGTGCACTGACTTTTCATTGCGGTGGCTTCTCGTTGCGGAGCACGGGCTCTAGGCATGCGGGCTCAATGGTTGTGGTGCGTGGGCTCAGTAGTTGTGGCTCGCAGGCTCTAGAGCGCAGGCTCAGTAGCTGTGGTGCATGGGCTTTGTTGCTGTGCGGCATGTGGGATCTTCCCGGACCAGGGCTTGAACCCATGTCCCCTGCATGGGCAGGCGGATTCTTAACCACTGTGCCACCAGGGAAGCCCCTGGCATAGCTATATTGCTTTTTGCCTACTCTTTTGAATCAGCATAATAGTACAGTCCCATAAAATAGATGTTCCCCTGTAGCATGGTTTTATTTCCCTTTTCCCAACTTTTAATTTTGATATTTTTCAAGTTTTAAGAAAAGCTTAAAGAATAGTTAAAATGAACAGCTGAATTGTCTGTTTAGATCGGATGGTTGTTAATATTTTGGCACACACAGGCACACACACACACACACACACAATCTTTCCTGTTCTGCTGACCCATTTGAAAGCAAAGGCAGACATCGTGGCCTTTAACCCCAAATACCTCAGCCTGCGTCTCCTAAGAGCCCCCTGCACAGTTTTCTAGTGGCTGTGTCCTGTGCCGGCAGTGCATGCGCTAGGCATCCCCCTGGTGGCCTTTCAGCCCGTGTATTTAGCACCTAAACAGCACTCTGATGACCATCCCAGCAGTTCACTGCAGGTCCCCCTTGTCCTCCCAGGACGTTCCCAGCTCACTGTGGACTTCTGCTCAGGGGAGATGCTCGCGCCAGACAGTGCTGGGGACTTGGGTGCCACTGTGGAAGGGGAGGAAGCGCCTGAAGAGGACAGAGAAAGGTGGCAGAAGACGGAGCTGTTTGTCAAGGAAAGCTTCGAGGCCAAGGACGAGCTATTCCCAGAAAAGTCAGAAGAGTCGAGTCTCCCGGAGGAGCTGCCTGTGGATGCTGACGGGGAGCCAGGAGGGGCGCTCCCTGCCAAGGCCCCGCCACTGAGCCCCGGAGCAGCCTGGGAAGGTAGGTGGTTGAGAACAACAGGGGTGTAGATGGGCCAGCACCCATCTGGGGGCCTCGGGTTTCCACTTCTGACTGCTGAGTCTGCGAGTTATCTAGAACCACAAGGGGAGCCTGGACTGCGTTTCTAGTATCAGCTTCAACAAGGTGCAAAGAAATGGGTGAGATGCTAACAGTGTATTTTATCTAACCTTGTACATCTAAAATATAATAATTTATATCATCATAAAATTATTCATGAGATACTTTCCCTCTTTTGACACTAAGTCTTCAAAATCCAGCCTGTATATGCCACTTATAGCACATCTCAATTCACATGCTCACTTTTGAATGGTTAAGGTGAAATGCAGCTCTACGAAAAGAAGCAAGTTGTTTTGGGCTGCTTCATTTTTTCAATTGAAATGAATTAAAAGTAGATACAATTAAATAAAATGTAAAATCCAGCCCCTCAGGAGTAGTGGCCACACTGCAGGCACATGGCCACAGCTACCACAGTGGATGACGCTGATCTAGAAGGGAAGCCCACTGGCAGGTTCTCGCCAAGTTCCTGGGGTCCTGCTGACTAATAGATAAACCCAGGACTCGGCCCTGGACGCTGCCCATCACTGCTGTGTCTGTGCAGCCCTGGGAGACCCGAACCTTCTGTTCCCAGCCTGAGCAGGATTTGAGGTCCATCTGGGGAGGTCAGCTGGTCTGGCCCCCACTGTCTGGGAGAGACTTCGAAGTAAGCCTAGTCTCTAGACTGCCGAGGGGGCAAAGGCCACACCCCAGGGCACCAGAGATGGGTGAATTATCTTTCCAGCTGAAGATAATGGCGGGGCAGACTATCCTCAAAGATTAGCTCAACTGAGCTCTATTTTAATAATTCTTTTCAAAACCTTACTGGCCACTCCAAACCCCCAAACAATCAGTGCTCCATTATTCACTGGGATTTACTACCCACCCCTCTTTTGTTCAGTAACATCTGAAAAATGTATCTTGTAGCCTACAGTCTTTAACAAGCTGTCTGTGGGAAATAGAAACGCACCTTAGGAAGGAGGGGTGGTGTAGGGAGTGAGGTGACCTGTGACTGTGCTGATATCCATGGCCCTGGCCCCCATCAGGGATGCTGGAGCTCATGAAGTCCCCAGGGCTTCCAGCAGGTGAGGCAGGAGCAGTGGGCGGAGAGCAGGGAAGGAGCAGGCAAGTGCGTGGGATCTAAACAGCCACCGCTGCTGCGAGAACAGGCTCCCGGGGAGGGGGCCCCGCCCCGCCCATCCCTCTGACGCGCTCCTCACACTTGTCAGGTGGCTGCAGCGCCGCTCCTCTTCTGACTCTGCCATGAGACTGCGGCTGGAAGGCATCTGTGAGAAGCGTGACTTGTCTTGATTTACTTTCCCTTGGGAGGCACTGAAGCCCTGCTTTCTATGGCTCCTGGCACCACTTTGCTGGATGGGATTGTAGACCCTCCAAGACCTGGTCACTCCTTGGTTTCTGGGAGAGAATTTCTACTAGACAAGGGTCACGTTTTCCCTCAAGCTTCCCACAGATGGCGATGTTATAGGTTTTGTTATTTAAAAGGGGAACGAATCATGTATTAAACACACGGGGAAAAGAGCATCCTCTGAACTACTGATGTAGGTGTTGGCACGTGTATTCTGAGACCCAGATACAAGGTTTTGCCCGCATCCTCACTCCCCCTCCGGTAAGTTTTTTGCCTTGAAACCGCACCTAGCCTAGAAGCAGAGTTTTCTATGAGTGAAACCATCAATTGCCTTCCTGAATGAAGGGCACATTTAACAAGGAGCTGGCAACCTGCAGGTCGGAAGAGGGAGGCGCAGCCAGATGTTTATCTAACATGTCAGCCAAGGCCATGACTTCCAGCTTACCCTCCCCCAAATCCCACGATCAGGTGCTCTCACCAGTAACCCATGTTACTCAGTTGGCAACTGGGGCTCAGAGAGGTGAAGTAACCTGCTCCACATCACAGAGCGAGTAACAGTGGGGCAGAACTGAAGCCAGATCTGCCCGCAGAGACCAAGCTGGTCTCCACCTCGACTCACGGCCATCCTCCCTGCTGTTAAGCCCCCCCAGCCTTTGCTGCCCACCCCTCCCCCACAGTCCCCTCCCTACTGAGCTAAACCCTCTAGGTGTCCTGAGTCCCAAGAGGGCAGCTGGGCTGTCAGAACAAGGAGGTCCCTCTTCCACGCAAGTTACTCAACCCCAAGAAAAGCAAATCTAAATATAAAAGCCATCTGTTTTTAAAAAAATCACTTTCCCATTTACCTTTCTTGCATGGCGCACAGTCTTACCTTACAAGTCACAAGGCCTAGTGAAGGATGCAGGAAATTAGGAGATAAACGGTATGAGCAGCTTTGCTGCGTTCCCTGGGCTCATCCTCTCTCATCATGGAGTCAGGAACCAGGGAAGGCTGCCTGGGGACTGAGTCAGGGCTCGGAGGCTTGAATAGCTCCCCATCCCGATGTTGAGTCTAAACAGGACCAAGGGAAACGTGATGTGAGTGCATACCGTCACAGAGACACACATTTCCCACCTCTATCTGATGACACTCTGTCTAGGGGAGCCTTAGCTTCCTTCCAGTGGTCACCAAAACGGCACAGAGGATGACTCACGCATTTCACTAAAACACTCTGTGAACTGGCGAGGCAGCGAATTTTCTAGACAGACACCCTGAGGTCAAACCCAAGTCCAGCCCCTTAACCAGCTGGGACACCTCAGGCAAGCCACAAAACCTCTCGGAGCCCGTTCTAGCCCCTGCGAAGTGGGAACAGTCTCCGCCATGGATCGCATGAGGCAACGTAAGGAACACATCCAACAACTAGTCTCTTCCCTGCCTCGCCTTTTCCCGGCACACAAAGCCTAAGCAGGTAGGTTTTAGGAAACAAAGGGTCTTGGCAGCTGCCTGGAGTAGACGCTTCTGCTGGCTGGGAAGCTGGACGCCACACGGTGCTACGAGCAGGACACAGGGGTCCGGGGGAAGGGCTGGAGGGGAAGCCGGCTACTGTGGTAATTAGAAGCTGCGAAGCCACGGGCACAGCCAAGCGGAAGAGACCACGACAAACCGGGCCTGTGAGGTGGGCCTGGGATCATCCACGGCAGCCCCGGAAGCCCCTGCCCACTTCCTTATATCATTCTTTTTTTTAACATCTATTTATCTACTTTGCCTATTTTATTTTATTTATTTTTGGCTGCTTTGGGTCTTCATTGCTGCGCACGGGCTTTCTCTAGTTGTGGCGAGCGGGGGCTACTCTTCGTTGCAGTGCACGGGCTTCTCATTGCGGTGGCTTCTCTTGTCGCGGAGCACGGGCTCTAGGCGTGTGGGCTTCAGTAGTTGTGGCACGCGGGTTCAGTAGCTGAGGCTCGCTGGCTCTAGAGAGCAGGGTCAGTAGCTGTGGTGCACGGGCTTAGCTGCTCTGCGACACGTGGGATCTTCCCGGACAAGGGACTGAACCCGTGTCCCCTGCACTGGCAGGTGGATTCTTAACCAATGCGCCACCAGGGAAGTCCCCCTTGTTTCATTCTAAACGGGTGCCCCAATGTGGCTCTTCAGTCAAACTGGGCACGGCCAGTCCTCAGGGCGGACAGCGGACCAGCGTGTCGTGAGCAGAATGGGGCCGTTTATCTCTAATCACGGGCACTGGAGAGGAAGCAGAGGGCAGGATAGGAGGGGCCTGGGGGAGGAAGACAAGCCCCTTCTGGACTCCACGTTCCACAGGCAACCCTGTGGTGACTTCACAGGTCTCCCTGACGCTCGTGCAGCAGGAGGGGCTGTGAAACTTGGCCTTTGGCACCACGGCCTGCCTTCCTTAATCTCCTGGCCCATCAATCATGCCTTTTCCACAGTTCCTGCGTATTCGTCACAGATTCCTGGCTGGTGCTTCCATCTCCAGGCTCCAGAAAGGGGGCGGCTGTCTCCCTTTCCTTTCAGACATAATCTTGTCCTAACCTGGGATTCTTGCAGCTCCTGTCACAGGGGCTGGAAGCCTTCGGACCCAAGGGCTTTGTCCTTCCTCTTGGAGTCACCTTAACCTCGGGTTTACCCGTCTGTCCACCGTGTATGAAACTAACTCCAAGATTAATATAACTCTTTGTTGTTCCTTAGAATCAGCTCCCCAGACGGTGGCCACTGAAAGTGCATCAGGTACAGAGCTCTGTGGAGCTGAAGATTTGGAAGCCATCAGACTGGAGACGAAGGAGCAGCTCTTCATCGATGTACGTAATTGGTGCCTCTGCAGAGAAGTGTCTGCGGTACAGCCCCGGTATCAGATCAGGCACAAAACTTCCAAATCCTCGCTGCCCAGAGCGTGGCCCTTGGGCCAGCAGGCGTGGTCTCCCCTGAGGGCTGCTTAGAAGGCAGAACCCCGGGCCCCACCCCAGACCCACTGCTCAGGACCTGCAGTTAATAAGCCCTCCCCCAGGGGGGTCCGTGCCTGTGCCCCTTCAAGACTGAGAAGTGATGGCCCAGACTGAGTCCCCTTGAACTACACCTACAAAGCTCTTGACGTGTTTTCCCCAAGAAGCTACACTGAGAGCAGCTCCGTCCGGCTAGCCATGTGCAGAACCGCCGAGGAAGCTGCACTCGGTCATCAGAGCCTCACCCTCTGGGGACACAGCTGCCCGTCTTCCTGGCCTGCCGCTGCCCCTGTTGCCTGGCCTGGCTGTCCAGCGGCCCGTACCCTGGGGCTTGTTCAGTGAGGGGCCGCCTGACCTTGGGGCTGATCACGGCCCGGAGCACGGCCCTCCTCCCTGAAGCCCTTCCGCTCTGATAGCAGTCTGACATGCTGTGCCCACAGGAATGGGTCCCTGGGGACGTACACACTTTGCCATGACCCCCGGGAATGGTGCTTTGGTGGGGCGAGGGGTGGGGCCCGGCGCCCCCCACCCGCAGCCTCACACCCTGCTCGCCCGGAGGATGGCCCGCCTCCCTGCCCACGAGTGAGCTCCTTCCGTTCAAGCCTGTGCGCAGCTTCCCCTGCCCGCGCCCACTTCTTCCATAAACTCCTACACGGGTGTTTCATTCCCAACCTCACAATTTCACGTGGCTCAATAAGTGTTCAACCGAGTACAGCCCATATTCAGAGTGGGTTTCTGGGCCTGCATATACCTATGACAAAAACAAAAGTGGGCAATTCTTCCCTAACATTTGATAACTGACCGTATACAGGACCCCAACACTAAGCTGGTACTGACCTTCCTCTTTGTCCGGCACTATTTTAAACACATCTTGTTATCGATTGAGTTAACCCTTCCAATAACTCTAAGACATAGGTACCATTGTCATCCCCATTTTACAGATGAGGAAGTTGAGAAACACAGGGGTTAAGCAACTTGCCCGAGGCTCCACAGCCAGGCAGCGTGGCTCCAGAGCCCACGCAGCTAACCACAGCCCGCGTCTGCCTCACACGCTGGACGGGGTGCTATAGATGAAGATACCGCGATACACAACACAAAACAGAAAAGCCCCCCTAGTTTGGGGGAGGTCCAAAATAGACCCGTTTTATGCCACAGAGTCCTAAGACAAATTTGCGTGTGGGTGGTACGTCTCCCCACAGATGAACGGGGTAACACCGAAGTGAAGTGGAGAAAGAGGTGGGAATTTCTGAAACACGTCACACCTTGCAAACCTCTTTCACTGATCAGATCCAGGTACCTGGTGTTGCCTCGTGTGTGTGTTTCGAGCGTGCACGTGGCCTGAGTGGTCTGGGTCACTCCGCGGGCCCCTCCACGCTCCGAGCACGTAGTGCAGGCTTGGGTGGCTGTGCGGCCGCGTCTGTCCCGTGGACTGGGCGTCGGGAGCGTGCCCTCCTGCTGACGGGGATCATTTTCTCTTCCAGGACCTGCCTGACTTGGAAGACGTGGATGCAGGCGGATCTCCGGGAGACCAGCACAAGGTGACTTCTCACACATCCCCCCAGTCCCACCTTCCCTTCCAGCCCTGTCACTGACCAAGTGTCTCGGAAAGTTGCATGCCCTTTGTGCTTGAAGCCTCCTCACCTCACCTAAGGAAATGCGGCTGCTTACTGTTGCTCCCCTCTCTGAGGTTTCACAACTAGCCACTTCGGTTTTTTTGAACAGATCTTTTATCACTGATTTTTAATAATCATGTTCTGTACCTAATTATCTGAACATTTTTGCTATCCTTTTGATGTATCCGTATGTTCATCTAGCGAATGTCTGTACCACAGCGACACGCAGGCCGGGGAAGGGAGGGTGGAGAGCATAGAAGGCCCTATGGGGACCCGACCCTCCTCCCTCTGGCAGTACTGAGAGCCAGTGTGGGCCAGCCCCGGGAGCCCCAAGGAGAGGGGAGCCTAGGGTGTAAGCTCAGGGCAGGAGCTCGTCATCGAAGGAGGGACACAGACACGGGACCACGGTTCCGTGGGGGCCTGACCTCCAAAGCACGACTAGGTGGCCGGGTGAAGGTGGAGCCCGTCGGAAGCCAAGGCTCACAGATGAACCATTCAGGGACCCAGGAGGGTGTTGGTGCAGCAGGAAGAGTGGGCGAGGGCCATGCCACATGGAGACCTGACGAGGACCGGAGGAAGTGGAGACCTGGCTGCAGAGCTCACCATGGCCTCCAGGGCTCACAGACGGCTGCCAGGGAGTGTCCATCCTGAGGCCCGACTTTCAAGCAGCGAGTGCTGTGCTCCCTCGGGCCCACAGTGTGATAGATTTAAAAAGCCGAATTAGCATTGGGCATTTTAGAGACTATTGTGAAAACAGAAATGTTCAGATACATTTTTTCTTTTAACAGAAGATGTGCTTTCCAAAGATTACAGCCATCTCGAGCCCGAGTGACGACAGTGACCCTGAACTAGACTACACCTCACTCCCAGTGCTGGGAAATGCATCCACAGACACCCTTTCCAGTATATTTGCAGTCTCCAAGGACACCTCCAGGAAGGCCGAGACGGAGACGCCCTTTACAGGCATATTTAAAGCAGCAGCAGAGAGGGACTTGGCAACCCGCAGGAGAGACACCAAGTCCCCTCGCCCACTGATTCAGGAGCTGGACGATGACGAGCCTTTAGGGCAACCACCCTGGCCCCCAGCCTGCCAAAGGGAAGCCGCGCCAGCCCCGTGCAGTGAGGACAGGCGTGGCGACCTGCTTCTGGCCTCCCCTCCAGGTACTGTCACCCAACTTTCAAGGCTACAGGGGCCAAAAGCTTCTCAGGGGGAAATGGACTGTGGACCACCCAAACCCAGAGCGGGTGGCCACCTGGGCCTTTGCCCTAGGAATCCTGTGTTCTGAGGGGGTCACTCACGACCTCGCCAGACCATGGAGATCGCAACAGCATGTTCCTAAGTCGCCAGCCGGGGCCAAGGAGCTGCCAGACTTGACCCCGTCCCCGACCTTCCCCATCCTTGGCCCTTCCAGACCAAGGCTGCTGAGGGAAGGAGGGGACCGGTGGTACTGCAGCTGGGAATACGGGACAAAACGAGGGTGACAGCTGGCCGGAGGGTGTGGGTCGTCCACGTGAAGGCCCAGGACCGGGATGAATGACTGTGAGATGCTGCTGGCCAGGAAGGGAGCTTCAGCAGGTGGGGATGGTGCCCACGGTGCCTGGCTGGGTGGGACCGGTAAAGCCACACCCTGACGTGCCCGCTGGCCTGGCGCTGGGGCCTGTGCCCATGAGCAGGGAGAGGCACTTTGGGGGAAGCTGGCTAGTGCCTGCTGGTCACAAGCGCACTGCGGGTAGCTCTGTGTTCAGCTTTGTGCCTCCGGGTATCCAACTCGGGGAGCCTGTTGAATGCAGACGATTCCCGCTGTAATCCACACTGGATGGCAGCCAGGCTTCTTGCCGAACACCAGCTTGCGTGGCTGCCCCAAGTCCTGCACGCGGGAAGGGATGAGGGCTGGCCGCACTTCCCAAGGACACCAACTTACCCATTTCCTGGCTCTTTAGGAAACAGCCCCGAAAAGGATGAAGCCCAGTCTGAGGCGGAGCCTGAGGAGTGCCCGGAGCCCAGGGCCACAGAAGACCGGGACTGAGCCCAAAAGGCAGCCCCTCTGCTCTTGGACTAACAGGGACAGGCCCTGGCCTGACCCCCCAGCAGGGGCAGGTCACCCCCTTGGCTGGGCTCCCCTTCCCTTCAAAGAGTTGCAGTTACTGCAGGCGTGCAGGGCCCTGGACACGGATGGCACTGTGCTCCCTGTTCTCAAAGCCTAACACAACCCCCGGTTATATGCAGTATTTGCAGTATAAACCGTGTAACTGTAAATCTCTCCCTTGAGCACTGTAAACATTTTAGCACCCACGCAAGTCCCTATGTTATTGGATTATTTGATGTCCAGTGAGTCACACGTGATTCACTTCATCAGGTACCTGAGACAAGGACCATTCCTCTCTTCACGTGTGATCAGAAACCTAGGTCCTGCCCCAGGGCCCTGTGTCATTCCCGGGGGTGTGTTCCCTGCAAGACTCTTCACCGGAGCCACAGAGCTGCGGAGGAAGCGAACCTGACGCACTGAATGTCGAAAGCCAAGTAATGGGATGCAGCCCGGCCTGAGAAACTTGATCGTTCAAAACCAGGCTCAGCTGACAAGTTTATTCAACCCCTAAACGTGGGTCCAAAGTGCCTCCCTCTATAAAACGTTAGATGGCGCTAGAAACCTCTACACACACACACACACACACACACACACACACACACACACACACACACACACACACACACACACACACACACACACACACACACACACACACACACACACACCCCTAACCACCAGCAGCTAGCTGCCAACACCCAGCAGCGGAGCACCGGCAGGCTGGGCAGCTCACTTCACCATCACCCTCCACGTCCCCGGGGGCCGGTGCGTGGCGGAGCCCTCGGCCACCTGGAGCCCCTGCTTTCTGGCACAACACTGTCAGCTGGAGGGGATCCCGGCGCCACTGACCTTCAGGACGGGGCTCCCAGGACTTCTCAACGTGCCCCTGGGAGCACGAGCTACGGGAGAACCGACTACCTTGTTGTCCCCCTTCCTCCAACGTGGATTCAAGTCGCTTCTGAATGTCTCCCGCAGTCGCGAAGGCCTTCGGAAAGCAGGAAGGTCTGCACCCTGGCGACTGTTCTCTTTATTTCCCGTTTCAACCACAAAAGGCACAGCTTATCCAGGACAAAGGGCTCCCTGGAGGTGGGGGGCAGCTTCCCCGGGCCTCAGAAGCCCATGCGGGGCTTCTTGCAGTGTGGCTGCGAGCCGGAGCGGACGGCTGCCCGCTGCCGGGAGGGGGTGGCCCGGACACTGGAGGTCTGGGAGAAAGGCACAGAGGCACCCACCGGGGCATTCCCCCGGAGCGGCAGCTCAGCCATGTAGTCCCGGAGGGTCTGCTGCCGCTCCGAGGGCACGCCCCGGGCCCACAGCTCCTGGGTGGACTCCTGGGAGGGCGGGGTCACTGGAGGCTGAGGCCTGGCCTCAGGGAGTGTCCTCTCTGGGCTGGGAGGGGGGCTGGCGGCGTCTGAGAGGTCTAAGCGGCCGCTGAGTGAGGAGAAGGTGCTGGACAGTTGAGTCCGGCGCTTGTGCCGCTTGGGCTGTTTGCCGGGCCCCAAGCTGCTGCCCCGCCGCCTCTCCCACCAGGC